CCCTGTAAATGCTTCTGGCAATGTGTTTCCTGTCACACAGCACCAGGTCAGGACTCCTACCGCTCCCTGTTGGCCGAGCAGGGTGAGTCCAGCCACCAAGGGTGCCCCTGTGGACCCACACTCAGGTGCCCCACAGGCTGAGGGTCAGGGGGTGTTATTTGGCCATGAGCTGAGCTGTACACATGGGCAGAGGGCTTTACCCTTCCAGTCAGTCAGGTTACCAGAAGTGATCATTGCTGAAATGATCATTAAATAATCCAGAAGTCTGCCCTTTATTCCTTTCTTCCGCGAGTCCAGCAGTCGGTAACCCAGGCATTGGCTCACGGCTGTTCCTGCCTGGTGTCCCTGTGGTAAAGCTGCTCCTACATCAAGGACCAAGACATGCTGTGCCTCCCCCAGGACCCTTCTGCACCAGTACCTGTTGCTGTACAGGTGCTGCTCAGCTGAAGTGTTAAAGCTCAAGCTGAGTGCTACATCATTTAATCCATGGCCAGCGTACACTTCAGCACATCCATGAGCTGCAGGTGGTCATGAAGCAGTTCCTCCATTGTATCCAGTTTTTAGGGCACATTTAGACACTGGTGATACTTTTTAATGTCTGATTTATTAGGTAAATGGTCTTACAATATTGTGTGCTGAAGAGGGAAGTGAAGAGCAGCTGAGCAGTACCACCATTTCTAGATGTTACTGGTGGTGGGTGCTTTTAGTCAGAACTGGAAACCACAGAGGACCTGTGACCTTTCATAAACACTCAGCAAAACACTGAGTTACTGCTGATCAGTTAAAAGCAGTTTGGTGTTTAACAGTTCTCAGTGATTGTTTTCAGGCACAGATGAGTGAGGGGTTACCTGGACAATGTGCAGTTGTCCAGCCAGAGCTGAAGCAGCTGCAGTAGAGATGAATGCAGAGAGGCTCATGTGGCAGAGGAGATCAGCAGATGACAGGGGACTTGCCCAGGGCCTGAAAGAGGAGCTCAGGATGGATGTGGTTTATTTTGAAACAGCAGATGTGAAGGGGACAAAGCAGAGGGTTAAACCATAAGGAATCGGGCATGAGGGAGTGATGGCCAGGTGGAGATCCAGCTCAGACACAGAACTGGCATCAAGGAAAAGCAGCCAGGTAGCAAGGAGAACAGCCAGCAGAGGTTGGTTTCTAGTCTCTTGCCTTACCTGAGACATTCTATAGAGAAGTCCTATTTTAGGAAGAAATAGTTCCCTGTGAGGGTGGGGAGGCCTTGGCACAGGTTGCCCAGAGAAGCTGTGGCTGCCCCTGGATCCCTAGAACTGCCCAAGGCCAGGTTGGACGTGGCTTGGAGCAACCTGGGCCAGTGGAAGGTGTCCCTGCCTGTGGCAGGGCAGGGAACTGCATGATCTTTAAGGTCCCTTCCAACCCAACACATTCTCTGATTCTACACATGGAAAATCAGGAGACTGTGACCTTATGTGGGGTTGCAAAATCCCCCAGCTATTCCTCTGAACATATCTTTGTTCTTTCCTCTCTGCTTTTGCAAGAAGCCCTTGTGCCCTTTAAAAGCACAGTAGGAGTTTGTGGGTAATTTACAGAACTAACAGGCACACCTGAGCAGTTCAGAGTGTCCATTGTCCTGGAATGACTTATGGGTTTGACTCATGGGGTTTTGTTCCCAAGCCCAAGAAAAGTTTTGTTCTATCAGTTCAGCAGGCAGGGCAGCATCTTCATAAAGAAGATACATCAATAGCCTGTAGTCTTCAGGATATATGGCCCTTTGGGGAGTACTTATGTATTTACATATCAAAAAAAATCATGCATAGGGCCCTTTTAATGCTTTTGAATTACTATATACAATTTTTTGGTCCTAAATGATTTAATTACAGGTTAATGAAGTTTGGGATATGGATATTGTGTTAAATGCAGAAATACATGCCTTTGTTCTTGATAGACCTTCTCCATTTGCAATGGTATTCACTTATTCAGGACGCAAATCCTCATTTTCCATGCCCTGAGAGCAGGGCAGGCTCTTGTCATAATATAACATTGTCATCCTTCCAGAGATAATGATGTGACTTGTTGCATTTCAAAACAGTGTGACTGAGATGAGGATTTGATCCAGCAGCCCCACTCTTCCAAAAGTACGAAGGTACTTGCAGAAATTTGGTATTGAGCTATTTTGGCCCTCAACTGAGAAATAAATAGGTCAGGCAAGGCCTTTGAAAAGAATTAAATAGATACATCTCACACTCGCAGAGAAGCATGAAACTCTCCTGCTAAAATGAAATTGGGTTCATGAAAGGTCACAGTTATCTTTTAAAGCAAGTTTTTGCATGTCTGCAGAGCAAATATTGCATTAAAGATAAGGGGAGAGTCTCTGTTTTACTGATAATGCTCCAAGTTTTCTTTTTTCCTCCAAACTGTGGTAGAGCTTCCTACAAGCTGAGCAGTCAGCCTGCTAGATATGACTTTTGCTTTGTTGGTCTGTAGTGACAAACCAGTAAGGCATCAAGTAAATACAAAGAAGAACCACGAGTTACCAAAATAACAGCAAAAAACTTTCTATTTATTATTTTATTGGTGACTTTTAAGTCCTGTCATCAGTTTTTCATGAACTATTTTGGCAGGAATAGCTATCCCAAGCTGGCTTAACTCTAAAGCTAATTTTGCCTTTATAAGCACAATCACAAGTTTGGTGAAGGGTCTAAAAAGGACTTCATATAACTTTAAATATATAGAGATATTGATGTAGATAGATGTATAAATGTTTAGATGTATCTATCTTTACATACAGATATATGAAATACTTATATTCTTATATATAAAGTATTATAACCATGCTTTCCTCTATCCTAAACTTCCATCAGAAGTGCCTTCCTACTGAATTTGGTGTCACACAAGCGAGTCATTTTGCCTGTGGCACAGTGGATGGGGTAGAAACCTCTGGTGGAGAGATAAGAGTTTAAATGCACCCTCAGGGCTGGCAGATAAAGCAAAACAGCAGCTTTCCCTGACTTCCTAAAGCTGATCTGCTGTAGGGGGTGTCCTTCATTCCCTGTGGAGCTCCCTGGCCCTATAGGGTGCCAGCAAGGACTATTTCAGCTTTCCAAACCTAAACTTTCTACCTGGGCTGGGCTGGTTCATAAATAAGTGATGGTGTCTTTCAGATCACATGGAGAGCTCAGGTTTGGAAAGCTGAAATAGTCCTTGCTGAACTTTAGGATGTACTTGTATGTGGCTAAATAGAGTCCCAGGGGGTGTTTGTCATTGAATAGCACAGCAGAAAGAAATGCAGGAAAAGCACTCTTTTACAAGTTGAGGAGCCTGTTAACACTCCTGCTCTCCCAGAAGCTCCTCAGCAATTAAATGGTTTAAGGCAACTGCAGGAAAGCCTGGAACAATGGCCAGTGCAGGAAGGATGTTGCAGGTGGATACAGCACATTTGTGTCAAGGTGCAGAGCTGAAGAGAAGTCAGCACAGCTCCAGCAGACACCAGCTGTTGTTTTGGGACTTTTCAGTATGTTTTTAAAAGCATCCCATGGATGCAGAGCTGAGGAAAAAGTCAGGCTGTGTCAGTACTGGGTGGGTTTACACTGTAAAGCTGGTATTTATTCTGTGGCCTCTTCACTGCAAAAGTGTAAACTAAAAGGGAGTGAAGTGAAAAGGGAATGGGAGTTAGCACTGCTATGGGGAGAGCAGAGGTGAAGGTTGAGGGCAAGACTAAAGAAGAAGCTGATTCAGGTGATTTAGGAGTCAGGATTTTGAGAGAAGAGGATGTTTCTCATGCACAAGGAACCGATGGGCTCTCCAGGCACAGCAGCTGCAGGACAGCAGTGGTGGGGATGAGGTGAATCTGTGACCCACGTGGAATTCAAATTCTGCCCAAATTCCAGTTCTGTCCAAATTCAAATTCTCTGCTGGCCATTACTCATTTTCCATTCATAAACTTTTCTGAAGTGAAGAGCAGCCGAGGGGTGAAGTCAGCCATTCACAAATACTTCTGATAGTCACCCCAGACTCTGGTTAATGAGTCACACTGAGCTGTGAATACATCCTGAACGTCAGGATCCTTTCACATGCTGAAGGAAGTGTTGCAATTTTACTCACTTGATCTGCATATTGCTCTCTGGAGGCTTTCATCCCAACGTGTCTCTTCTTACAATAATTCAGGGGCACATTATGAAATCTGGGATTCTGCAAAATTCAAGCAGAGCTCTTGCTGAGCATGGCATTTAGGATCTTAAATTCTGCAACATGATGTGTCAAGCATATGGCCACATAGCAACACACTAAAATGTGAATTTGCTCCATGTTGCAGGAGGAATCCTGCACATGAGCGTAGAGGGCTCTGCTCAGACAGTGCAGGAGCACACACACTGCAGCTGTAAGCCAAAGGCAGAATACCACTCTGCAGGGCTTTTCTGCAGCCTTACAAGCCCACTTGTGAGTGAAAGTGCAGAGTTAACAGCTAAAGGCCAAAGATTTTCCCTGTGGGTGACACTTGCCGTGCTAATTATAATATGACTTTTGCCTGGATAATAATGGCAAGTGCTGGGGAAGGGGTCAGGAAAGAGAACAAGCTTCTTCACTGTAAATATTTATTGTTGAAAATGCCCTGGAAGAAATACTTCTGAGAGTCTCAGTTTCACCTTGTCCTTAATGCTGCTGGTATGGCTGAGCTGGCAGTGACACCCTGTGGTACCAGACGCTGTCTGTTAAGGAGTTCGCTGTAAGACTGCAAGAGCAAAAAGTCCAGTGATGTTTCTAATTCCTCTTCAGTGGACCAGACTTTCCATCCTCCCAGAGTGTCCTTGCATTAAGGAAGATGCACCTTCCTGGATTTAAATGCCCTGGAAGTAGCTCTGGCCTGACTCACATCTCTTGGCTTTACAGTGAGAGGACTCAGCTGCAGGAACAAACCCGGATTGCATCACAGTGCACCCTTGCCATGGCTCAGTGAAAATGCTTGCCCTGGTGAGCCAGGAAAGCTTGTGATTGGAAGGGGCTCATTATGGGTATTTTCTCTTTTTCAGGGGGTCCACGAGTCGAAAGGTGTGACTGAAGATTACTTGAAGCTGGAATCCCTGATCCAGAAGGTCGTGTCTCCTTACTTGGGCACATACGGTCTGTACTCCAGTGACGGACCCTTCACGCACTCTTCCTGCATCCTGGGTAAGAATTTGGGCTCCATCTGGCACAGCACAGAGGTTTCCCCAAAACCTTGCTCTGTACAGTACCAGGATCCTCACAAGAGACAACTTGCAGTACTCCATGAGGCAGTCAGGCTCCTTTTCTACGCCCCTGCTCTTCGCAGTGTGCAGAGTCACAGTGAAACTTGCCACTGGCAGAAGATGAAAACAGATCGTCATAACAGTGCTCAGTAATAAAAATCAGTAAAAATGAGTCTAGAGTGTGTTTAGCATTGCCATTCTGCCTTTTAACAAGACAGCTTTAACACAGGGTGTTTTATGGACAGGGAGAGGAAGAAGCAAGAAGCCACTTCTGAAGTGCTCAGTAGTTCATTAGTGTTCATTGGTACACAAAGATCCTAAAGGGCTGTTAAAATTAGGGAAGAGAGCAGGAATTTGTCTTAGAGCAGACTAATGCATAAGCCTTTAAACATGTGAAAGCTTTCTGCAGAGCAGAAGGTAATGAGGTGTTCTCCATCCCAATGGAGGTAAGAAAAATAGAGTGAGCCACGCATTGCAGGGAAATTCAGGTTACATGGAAGGAAAAATGTCTAATGTCACATGAACTGCCTCTGGAGGCTGTTAAATCTTTGCTGTGAGGCACTTTATACGTGTCACCTACATCAACATCCATAAGGGGCAGGGGGGTAAACGTGGGCCAGCCTGGTGGCAGAGGGTGAGGCAGTACCTTCTTGAGTCCCCTGCAGCTTGTTTTCTGTGATTCTCTGAGCTCTGAAGCATCCTGTGACTTCTGTGAAGGCAAGATTTGGCCAAGATGAAGGCCTTTTGAATATCCCCCATAGCAGTTCAATCTGTTGAAAATGCAAGGGGAATATAACCAGTGTAAATGAAAAAGGAAATGTGGTAGTACCTGAGTATTTTAATGTAAATACTGTGATGGCCTGCTTGAATAGAGCAAACAGAGGGGAAAATCAGTTCAATTGTGTGTTTTCTGTGCAGTCAATTTAATCTGTTTGCTTGTCAGAAATGGTCAGTAAGGAAGTTGATTTTCCCTTGAAGCTGAATGGAAGAGTGGTTGTGTTGCAGTAGGCATTTAAGAAACAAATCAGTTTTAGGTGAATAAATAGAGGCCACTTATTTATGGAAAATGGTTCAGAATTACCACTTTGTATTCATTGCTTGCCATTAAAATGCCACAAGCATTTAAATGGAGCACCAAACTGACAGTTTTCTGAATACAAGCTTTTGTATGTCAGAACAGAAAAAATTCACCCAAAGAGAATAAAACACTAGTGAAATGAATTGTTAGAAAATAAATGTTGTATTACATGACTGCAGAAGACAGGAAGGTTCTGGTGGGCCTCTTGCTGTGGTCTGGGGGTTGGAGCTGTAGCAGAACCCATGAATAGGTCTGACTGTAATCACTGAGCCCAGACCCAAGGAAGCTGAGTGCTCAAGTCTCTGCTGCTTTTAAACTGATGCATCCACTTCTGTCCAACTGCTTTAGTAACACATGACATGTTGTGACCAAAAGCCAGAGTTCCTGTGGCAGGGCAGCCCCAGGAAACCTCTGTTTGCCAGGTCAAACTCCTAACAAAGAGAAAGTCCAAAAGTGAACTTGGCTCAGTTGATTTCCCTGTCTGCTGTCACAGGCACAACTGCCAAATACAATTTAAGTACAGAAACTGGCTTTTTTAGTAGTACAGCACATGACTGGAATTTGTGTCCAGGTAAGCACATAATTACATATAAGTGTAATTTTGAGTGACTGGCACTTGTAAAGGAAATTGCATGGTTTGCAGGGAACATATACCAGCATCCTGATTTAAAGCAGACAATTTATTTTCAGTGCCTGTGGCTGACTTCCAGAGGGTGCTTTGATCCCTTGCTCCAGCCATGCAAAATGAGAGGAGCAGGAAGAAAGCTTCCAAAGTGAGACCTATTATTCACACCACTTTCTCTTTTGTTAGCTCCAGTGAGTCTGAGCAAAAAGTTTGCTTGCTGGTGATTTTTAGAGCACTCCAGCCTTAAACCTCTGCTGGAGAAAGAGCTCTGTGCTCCCATGCTGCCACCTGCTGCCTATTTTTTGGAAAAATCCCACTTAACAGCTGCATTTGGGCAATCAGTGGCTCGAGTGCAGGTTTGTTCCCCAAAAATAGGTTCCTGTGGGCACTGCCCTCCAGTTACCATTTCCAAACACTCCTGGTGCCTTCCCCACGTTTGGTCTGTGAATGATGCTTTGAATCTAATTTTTCCAGACTTAATAGAAAGACTGCCTACCTTAATCCCCAAATTTAAAGAGACTTGATTTTTCCGGGGTAGGTGGAAAACTTAAAAGTTCATCTGCTAGAAATGAGTGATTATAGCCTGAACAAGAGCAGAACCACACTTTCTGCTCTTGTATAAAGAAAATATTTACAATTTTATATCACCTCTCCCACAATATTTACTGTTTTGCTCCAGCTGCCGAAGTTGTATAAATATAAGTGAACTGCAGCTGTTATTTCCAAATATAGGTTTGGGGTCTTCAGTATGATAAAGAAAAGCAGGAAATCTGAAGGCTGTGGACCTACAAAACCAGTGAAACTCGTTCTTTGATAAAAGTTTCTGTCATTCAGGAGAGGGCTCGTGAATTTTGAACACTCGTAGTTATTAGTGCCATAAAAATAGAGTTTGTGGGTATGACTCTGGGTGCTTCTGTGTTCACAGAGAAGAGGTTCTTCAGGCGCTCCAAGTCTGGTGATATCCTGGCCAAGAACCCTGTGGTGAGGTCCAAGAGCTACAACAACCCTCTGCTGACGCCCGTGGCTGAGTATGAGACGGAGGGCATGGCCTCCAACGGGACCGGCATCCGCAGGCACTCCGTGTCCGAAATGACCTCCTGCCTCGAGCTCCAGGGCTACTCCAACCTCACCACCATCATGGACAACGGCTCCAAGAGCTCCGTGACGACCACGAAGAGCTCCCTGTCGGGAGAGCAGGAGAGGCCCAGCACCGGGTCGGTGCAGTGCTCCGGCAAGCTCAGCACAGCTGAGCAGCAGAAAGGACTCTTCCACCCTGTGGACGATCCACACAGGTCTTTTGAACTGGACAGAGACCCTTCCTTGATTCCAGTTCCCTCTTCCAGCCCCGAGAACATAGTGGATCAGATTTTGGAGTCGATCGACTCAGATTCCGAAGGCATTTTTATTGATTTTGGCCGGGGCTGTGCCAATTCCTCAGCGTACAATGTGGACGTGAACAGGCAGAGCATCATGTGAAGGAGACTGGGGGACAAACCTTGGGTTTTAGTATTATATATGGAAGTTACTAACACAAGGAGCCAGACTGTGGGCCAGCTGTTTATTCCAGGGCAGAACCTCTGTTGTAGGTCACCACAGCTCTGCTGAAGTAAAGAAACACAAGCAGGCAGGAATCTGCTGCAAGGGGGGAGAAACTCCAGCCACTTCTACCTGTCACTCTGCAGTGGGATTTCCTATTGTCTTTATGAACTTGGGGGCTCACAAGCTGACAAGTGTCTGGTAAAATGCTCTCGGTGCAGCTGGCAGTGTTTGTTCAGTAGCACAGCCCAGCAAATAGCTGTGCTCACTTTTAATTTTCTAAAGAGATTTCCTGCAGACGACAGGTTGTTCTCTGTGACACCTCAGCCAGGGTAAAAATGTATCCTTTAAAAAAAAGAAAACCAACCAAACCAACCCCAGGGGCTGTGGGCCTTTATACCACAGAATACAGTGATAAAGAAGTTTCTTTTAATCTTTTTTCTTGTACATCTTGTATGCACTCCTTTGCCTAATGGTGAGTGAGAGTTCTCGGAGAAAGGCAAATAAACAGAAATGTGCTTCCTGATGTCACGCCATGCCTCGTGTCCCATGTTCTGTTTCACAGCCAGTACTTGGTGTCTATGAGAGAGTTGTCTGGAAACTGGCTTTTAATTGTGTGTTAATTTGCTCGGAACATGACACTTCCAAGAAATCTGCGCTGTCAACTCCTGGAGCATCCGTTGTATGGAGAGATTCCATGACAATTCGACCTACTTGTTTCCTTAATAAACGAAAATGTGGCCTCTCGGGGGAGAATCCTAGTTGTATAAATATGTCTAAATTAAAGAAATGCCATAATGCACATGCTGTCATTTAGGGTAGATATTTGGGAGTGTGAACCTTGCAGCCCTCGTCCTCCTAAGAGCTGTGTCAGAGGGTCGATGCACAGGATACTGAGGTGAAGTAGAAATCCTGTCAAATTCTTAAGTCATGCTTAAAAGTTTCTCTTAGGCAGAGAAAAATAATTGATAAATAATGGCTTCTGCGTCCCAACAGTCTCAAACCTCAGCCAGGTAACGCACGATGTGGGGCAGAATCAGTGAGGAGAGAGGGGCTTAACACCAATTGGCAGCAGAACATGCCCTCAGTGGGAGCAGCTCTGGTGTCTGGGAGGATCTTTGGGATCCAATAGGTGAAGTGGTTTAGGAAGCAGGCACCAAACTAACCCTCTGAATTATTACTTAACTTGGAGCGATAGGGTATCCACAGCCGTGTTCTGAGGAAAATCCAAAGATAAGATTCAAACCTCTACAGGAAAACATAAAAAAATCTAGTGGATCAAGGCCTCTGCACACCTTTTTCCTTTAAGGAACTACAAATGTATTAAGAGTCATAAGCTTATTTAATAATTGGGGAATATTTAAGCAGAGTTTCAAGGGAGAGAAGGACTGCTGGGACCCTCCCACCTGAGCTTTTGCATGATTAGTGCCCTCCCCTCTGATAGAAGAGTGCACTGGCAATGAACTGACTTCTCCTACCTTGCACAGTCAAAATCCTCCTCTGAGGAGTGTTCCTTGACTTTAAATGTTGCACAGATGAGAAAGACTACCCAAATTTGTGATGCTCCTACTAGTAATCCCAGTGCAGGCAGGTCAGGGATATGGTGGGTTTAGAGACAAACCAGGGAGCCATTACAAAGGAAGGATATCTATCACAGAGAATAGTGCAGGTTCTTGCCAAAATGTATTTATGAAGTGATGCCTTTGAGCTTCCAAATGCAGTGTCCCAGTGCACAAGTGGTACTTGAGCTTTGCCCCAAAGGGGCATTCTCAGTGTGCCAGTAACTCCTCTCCACCTTTCCTTTGTTGGGGTAAATTGTGGCATTTTGTATTCTAATCCAAGAATCAAAAGCTCTCTGCTCTTTCCCTGGCTGGGACAGGTTCCAAAGCCCTACTGGGGATTACACAGAGCAACAGATAGCACTTACAGCTCCTGTCATCTGGCACTGCAGGGTGAGCATTAAGCAAGCAAGGGGAACTGGGAGACTAACCTAATGAACAGCTGCTGAGCCCTGTGGAGAAGTGCTACAGCTCCCTGGAGCACTGCTGGAAACGGCAGAATAATTGGCTGCAAATAATGCTGCCCAAATAGAGGCCTTTTGTGTCAGAGAAATGGGGAAAATGACTTTCCCAGTATTCAGTTATCTCCTGGCACGCAGGTTTGGATGGGGCTTTTGACTAAAACAAACACCTGAACAACTGAGCTGTGATGACAGAAGAGCTATGGGCCACCTTCTAGGGCCACCATACAGACATGTGAGGGTGTGAAAATAACTGATCTCTCTACAGTTCTGCTGGACATGTATGGATTGCCCCTTTATTAGGATAATATGCTCAAAGAACATCTTGGAAATGATGATATCAGAAAGCCTTTAGTGTTACTTTTGAACTCTGGTCTACAGAGGTGTGACTGTCATGCCAGAACTTTGAGAAAAGCACCAAAATTTGGAGGCAGGGAGCAGAAACCCAGATACCAGTTGAGCCAGCAGTGCTGCAAAGAACATATAGAGCCATTTTAATAATACATAAATCAATGCTACTGTGCTCTCCAAGAGAACAAAATGCTTGGTTTGCAGCTGAAGTCTTGCTTGCACCTTTCCCCAAAGGAAAAAATACACTTTTAAAAGGAGAATAAATGTATTTTGTGTCAGAGAGCCTTTTAACATCCCTTTCTCTTCATGTGGTATGGTAGCAGCAGCTTGCTGTGCTCAGTGGTTTGAGAAGTGCCAGACTCTTCCTTCTATGAGAAGGGAGGAGAGATGGTGCTTGGGACTGGAGGAGCTGACCAGCACCTCGAGCTGGGTGCAGGGTGATGGGTACCAGGAAAGCAGCTGGGCCACTGTGTCCCCTAAAATCCAACCCAGAGCTGCTCAGGGCAGTTTGCATTAACTGCAGAAAACCACAGGCCACCTGATGTTCCTCAGGCTGCACTGGCTGTTTCCAACCCACTGGAGAAACGCAGCTGGAGGCATCCAGGGTGATCACTCCATATGTCCTGGAGGACCTCAGGGCTGTTCTCTGATGTTACTGACAGACGAGGGATCTCTGGGGGGTGGAGATTACACCAAATGAGTGAACTCCCTGAGCTAGTGAGAGAAATCCCTGAAAGTGTTCAAATGTTTTGTGTGGTCCCAGGACACTGCAGAAAAGCAGATATGAACTCCCCCAGATGCTGTGTGTTGGCCTAGTTGCTCCATCAAAACCAGGGGTTGAACTTGATTGGCTTCATCAGTTAGGCTAATGAGTCATCTCCCTGCAATCCCCTGCCTCTCTTAAAGCTGCTGCTTCTCTGTAGCACCCTCAGAAGGCACCTCTTGGGGTGACCAGAAGAAAGGAGCTGGCTCTGACTGAGTCTCAATGTCACAATTACTCTGGCATTTCAATGTTCTCCAGGCAGGTAAGTTGGCTGGTAATTAAATAATGAGCACAGCCTATTCTTCCACAAATGGTGCCCCCTCGGGTCTTGTGTTGTATCCTTGGATTAGGAGCTGGCAGCTCTCCTGCCTGCAGCAGGATTGCCTGCCAGGGTGAGGAGAGGAGAGGAGCTGCCAGGGTGCTCTGCCAAAGCCACGGGAGAGAGGGAAGGGAAAGCTGGGGATGTGAACAGCCATGGAACTGCTGGGCTAGTAAACCTGCCAGAAGTTTACTGTTAGTTAGTTGTCTTTGTAAAATGAGGTACCGCAGGCTAAGCTTGTTTTTCTGAGGGTCTGCATCAGTATTTTTGCCTAAAGATTGCGAACTTTTCCAGAATATGTTTATTTCTAATTATTTCAGGATGAAATATTTTTCTCCCTTGCAGAAGCAAATACTCTTAGGCAGTTTTAGCTTTATAAATCCTCACCCTCTGAACTCTGGGGTTGGAAATGAGGATTTGAAGAGAATTCTTAGGGCTCTCTTTGTCTTTTCAATGCAGATTAGTTGGGATCAGATTGCTGGGCTGGAATTCAGAGGCTGAGATGCCTTAATTCCATGTCCTCCATGGGCTTTTTGCATAGATTTAAGTCACTTAATAGCTCTATACCTCTTCAGAATGTGGGGATAATGTTCTTACTTGTCTTTCTTCATTTCCAATTATTTAGTGGATTGTCTGTTGCTTAAAGGTTTCTTGATAAAGCATCCACAGTGAGGAGAGGAGGCTGTAGATTGGGGAACTGTAAATTAGCAATGCACCCCTAACATTTCTGTATTTAATTGTGGGGCCATCATATTCTTTTAGTTTAACTGCATCCATAATTTATACGTGCTAATTAATTCTTATTTATCATCCATTCCCTATCTATCTACGTATCTTTGTCTTTCCTCCCAATTGCGATCTTCACTGATACATTTACAGTGTCACTAAGCTCTCTTTCTTTAGCTGATGTTACCTTTTTAATACCTTGTGAGCTCTGAGCACTTCCATGACTTTTTTTTCTTCCAGTGCATGTTACTTTCTTCCTACAAGCTTTGAGCTTCCTCTTGCCCATTACTCTAAATAGTTCCCTCTGCAATTTCTCATGTTCTGGCCTGAATATAGTCAGTAACCCCCCAGGATCAAATATCTCTGCTTCATTCATCTCTTCCAATCAAAAAAACTGGAAGGCATTAAGATTGATTTCCAATGAGGAAAATTTATCTTCCCACTTACAGTAGTTTTGTGGGAAATTGAGCTCATAATATTCTGTTCTTCGTGATCACTCAAACTGGGTTTTTTTCCCAGATAAAGATGTAAAGGTTGCTAGTTTATGAGCTTTTGGATCATACCCTCAGGCATATGTTAAAATACAGATATGGTATTTGTGCTCTCCAGTTCTCTACAGCAACATCTGTCTGTCAGAAATGCTCCCTTGTCTGTGAATTATTAAACCACTTCATTCTTAAACCTCGTGGGTATGGAATCATCTGGGATGGCAACATACTACAGGAAGCTGGAGAAAGTTGGCAACCCTTGGGGTATCCACAGGCAATCCCTTTACATGGGAAGATAGAGGAGGAAAAGTAGAAATGGAAATGCTGCACCTAAAAATTGGAAGCAGAATGGGATGAGGGTGCCAGAGCAGACAAAAAATGCAAATCATTTGAGGCAGAACTTAACTGACTTCAAATGCAGTTTAGATTAGATATTAGAATAAAGGATTCTTCCCTATGAGGGAGGGGAGGCCCTGGCACAGGTTGCCCAGAGAAGCTGTGGCTGCCCCATCCCTGGGAGTGTCCAAGGCCAGGTTAGACAGGGCTTGGAGCAACCTGGGCTAGTGGAAGGTGTCCCTGCCCATGGCAGGGGGTGAAATGAGATGGTCTTCAAGATCCCTTCCAACCCAGGCTGGTCTGTGATTCTATAATTCTAATATCTCACCCCACATCTTTGCCAGCAGCTTCGTAATGGCCCTATTCTTAAATCTTGTTCAAGCCTCCCTGGGGGAGGAGGGTGAGCAGGAATTATTCTGAAGAAAAAGGTTCTACACAGCTCCTGAGTTGAGAAATTTATAAAGCTTATGAGGAGAGGAATTTCTCAGGCTAAGGGTGGAAAACATTTTAAGTTTCACTGGATCAATT